CTTTTTTCCGCGGTCTCTTATGTCCCCGCGTAACCAATCCGTGCCCAACAACACGCATGGAAAAGCAGATGTGAATTTTGCACGAAAGCGTCCTGTCTGGACTTGCCTCATGCGCGCTGCAGCCAGGAGAATTACGCATGCGCTCTGCGGTGAGGAAACTGACGCACGCGCAGTGCGATGTCCAGGAAGGCGCATGGGTTTTGCCTGCATGAAGTCAGCGCATGCGCAGTGCTGTGCCAAGAAGCCGCATACGCTGTTCGGTGCTGAGCTGGCGCATGCGCATTACCGTGCCGCGGCTGGTGTATGCGCCTGGCGTGGCAGAAACCGGCGCGTATATATAGCGCGTTACAGAGCCCGGATTTGCTCAAATGTATTGCTTTCCCGAGACATGCTCGTATCGGTGCTGCTGCACACCGGTAACGCGATCGAGAATCTCCGAGCCTCTGCGAGTCTCTCCGAGCCCTTCCGAGCAGCTCCGAGCCGCTGCGAATTGCTCCAAGCAGCTCCGAGCCCGTCCGAGCCGCTGCAAGCCCCTCCGAGGAGCTCCGAGCCTCTCGGAGAAGCTCCGAGCAGCTTTCGCGCCGCTCCGAGCGGCTCCGAGTCCTTCCGAGCTGCTCCGAGTCCTTCTGAGTAGCTCCGAGCTGCTGCGAGTCGTTCCGAGCCCCTCGGAAAAGCTCCGAGCCGCTCCGAGCCGCTTTCGCGCCGCTCCGAGTCCCTCCGAGGAGCTCCGAGTCGCTGCGAGTCGTTCCGAGAACCTCGGAGAAGCTTCGCGCTGCTTTCATGCCGCTCCGAGCCCTTCCGAGCAGCTCCGAGCCGGTCGCTCCGAGCCGCTTCCGTGCCGCTCTGAACCGCTTTCGTGCCGTTCCGAGCCGCTCCGAGTCTTTCCGAGCAGCTCCGAGCCGCTCGCTCCGAGTCCTTCCGAGCCGCTCCGAGCCCCTCCGAGTCATTCCGAACAGCTCCGAGCCCCACCGAGCCGCTCCGAGCCCCTCCGAGGAGCTGCAAGCCGCTCCGAGGAGCTCCGAGCCCCCCCGAGCAGCTCCGAGCCGCTCCGAGCCCCTCCGAGTCGCTCCGAGCAGCGTTGCACTGCTGCTGCGGGGGCTTTTAAACGGCTCGGGGACGGTGCAGGGCTAGGGTTGGAAGGGGACGTTTGCTGGTTCACCGGGAGGCGAGCGAGTTGGATGCCACGAGGCGCTGAGGGGCAGCTGTGAGCCGAACCGGTCCGTTTCCGTTCCCGGGTGGGCTCGGGCATCAAACGGCGGAAATAGACGAGGGGCACCCCGGGCTAGCGGGGGAGAATATATCGCTGAGCCGGCGGTCCGGAATCGGCTGCTTGCCCGTAGCCGTAGTGGTTTTTCGAGACAGCTGCTGTTTTGAAGGTGACGGGCGTATATTCGCTGTTAGCCGGAGGACTAATCACCATAGAGAGCGGCGGATGAGCTGCGCAGAGCGGTTAGATCGGCACTTCCGCATTTCTGGGCGCATGTGTTTTGCCGCGGGTGGACTCGGCGGCAGGCAGCGGCAGTTCCGCGCGTTGGCCACGCGGTGGCAGCAGAGACCACGGCAAGAACTTTCCTGCCGGATCGATGCCGGGATTCAGCGGTAGGCTGCGGCAGTTCGGCGCATTGGGGGCTGCCCGTGGGGCGCGTGGAGTGCTGGGAGGAGTTGATGGCCGTGCGCGGTGGGGTGATGGTGCCCTCGGCGCACGGCTGTGACAGCGGGGTGGGGGTCGGTGCCCCAAAATGGGGTGGTGGGCGAGTTGTATGGGGAGTGCATGTGAAGCAGTGCTGGAGCAGCTTGTGAAGGGTGCAGCCCTGTGAGCACAGGTGGAAGCAAGGCAGCCGTGGGAGCAGATGTGGGACCTGTGGGTCGCTTATGCGTCGCTTGTGGGGCGCTGATGTGTCACTTTTGGGGCCTAGGCTGCTGTCAGTCATTTGTGGGTCCCTGCTGCCTCACTTGTGGGGGTACTTATGGGTCAATTCCTGGTCCCTTTGCCAGTTAACGGTCCCGGGCTGCTGTGGGGCACTTCTGGGGCCGTGTGTCTCACTTGTGGGTCCATGCTGTGCCACTTGTGAGTCACTTGTGGGGCACGAGGGGGCAGTTGTTGGTGACAGGACACTCGTGGGGCACTTATGGGACGCTGATGGGTCAATTATGGGGGACTTATGGGGCACTTGTGGTTCAGTTGTTTGTCCCTTGCGAGGCACTTGTGGGTCCCTGTGGGTCACTTGTGGGTCACAGGCTGCTGTGGGTCATTTGTGGGTCCCTGCAGTGCCACCTGTGGGGCATTTGTGGGTACCCGTGGTGTCCTTTGTGGGTCCCTGCGGTGCCACCTGTGGGGCCCTTGTGGCTCCCAGGTCACTGAGGGTCTTTCTGGGTCCCTCCCTGTTTCTGTGGGGTTTGGATTGCTGTTGGAGCCCAAAGGCCACATGCTGCCATACAGGCAGGTGCCAGGGTCACCCCCTGAGGACACCAAACCCTCCAATGATGTCACAGCGGCCTTTAATTGCTGTGTGAGGAGATGACGTGCGTTTCTCCCTGGGGAGCCGTAAGCTGAGCCTGGCAGCTGGGCAGCCAGCACTCGCTCCATTGACGCCGCTCATCTCAGCCCTTGTGCTGCACGTGCAGCTTCTCAGCACCTCGCTGTATCAGCACTGAAATCTGTGCTCCCCTATTTATTACAAATGTCACCAATTGCCATGGAGGGCAGACTGGAAGCAAAGTACGTGGACCGTCCTCGCTCGTCCGTGGATAAACCTCCCCTTGCCAGACAGGCAGACCCAATTGGCTGCTGGTCGTGACTTTTTTTTTTTTACTTCATTTTTTCCTTCCTGCTTTTAGGGGAACTTTGAGATCACAGCCGGAAGCAGTGATGGAGCACCTGGTGAGGGGTGCAGCCCTGCCTGCACAGGTGGAAGCAATGCAGCCGTAGAGCAGATGGGGCTGAGCCTGGCTCCACCCCTCCCTCGCCTCATTGAAGGGCTGGCAGCCCCACAGGCAGGGTTTCTTCCTGGAGATGCCTCCTGTGGATTGCTGGGTGAGCTCTGGTTCGTGGGAAGAGGTCAGCGATTCTTTCTTGATGGCTGTTGGGGTTTTGGTCTCTGCCTTTCTGTGGGGATTGTAAGCTGGTTTACAGTAGCTCTGTCAGCTCTGCCTCTGCTTCTGATGCCTTCCACTTGTTCTCTGAGGGCAGTCAAGGGGTTCTCTGCCTTTCTCTGAACTGGTAACGGAGGTACTGATGGGCGTTCCTTTCTTTTGCTCTCATCTGTTTCGGGAGTGCTTCAGTCAGCCCCAAGGTGACGCTGGTTGGGTGACTGAGCGTTGGGACTCCAGAAATGCCTGGAGCTGATGCACTGTTCTGTAAAGGGATTCTGTGTTCTGCAGAGTTCCTCTGCAACTCTTTCTAAGCTCAACACCTTCTTGTGACGTCTCTGTTCCCTCTTTTGTGATTCTCATTGTGGGATCTCCAACCTGGGCCTTGTATGCGTCGCTTGTATGCGGGTGGGTTTTGGGCCGGCTGTGGGCAGCTCCCTTGGAGATGCAATGAGGGTTGGTCCCCAGGGCTCGCCCTGCTCCCTGCCCTTTGTCCTTGCAGCCCCATGAGCTCCGTGGCTGGCGATAGAGCGAGGTGCGTGGTTGCGGCTGGGAGCTGAGCTGCAGGAAACCCCCGGGCCCCAGCGGCCGTTTGCTTCATCCTCACCCAGCGCCGTCCGCTCTGCGCTGCTCGAGAATACTGAGCACAAGGATTCAGTTCCTGGTTGGCCTGGTTCTCTCCCAGATCTCCCTTAGGAATTGGTCGGCAGCAACAGGTGTCAGGGCTCGGCTCTGCGAGCGCCTTGTGGCCGACCCCCCCAGGCTCTCAGGGCTCTTTCAGTCGTGCTGGCAGATGTGGCTTTGTATTGATAGGAAACAAAGGGCCGTCCTCTGCTGGAGCGCTGTGCCTGGATCACCGCAGATATCTCCATCCTGGCCATCAGGGGATGCTGTCAGTTTCCCAGTCTGGACGCCACCCAACCTCCCCAGCCCTCTTCCTTCCATCCCTGCCCCCCTGCAGCCGTGGCACCCAGCAGTGCGATGCAGCAATTCCTCTGGTGTGCTGAATGCTGGGGCCGGCACTGAGAGGCTCTGTGGCTGACATGAATCTTCCTGGTTGGACTGCTTGGTGAGTTTCCCTGGTGCTGTTGAGCACACAGGCTTCCCCGCCTGCCCTGATTGCTCACCAGGCCATCGATGTCCTTTGTGTCGTCATGCCTCACTGCTTCAGGTATCATGCCATAGACTCCTTAGAGTCGGAAGGGACTGTTTGTGATGATCTAGTCTGACTCCCCACAAGGAACAGGGACATCCACAGCTCGATCGGGCTGCCCAGGGCCTGATCCCGCCTCACCTTGGAAGGGACAGGGCATCCACCGCCTCTCTGGGCAGCCTGTTCCACTTCCCAGAATCACAGAATGTCCCGGGTTGGAAGGGACCTCGAGGCCCACGAGTCTCCAGCCCCCCGCCAACGCAGGGCCATCAACCTCCCCGTTTCACAGCAGCCCAGGCTGCCCAGGGCCCCATCCAACCTGGCCTTGAACACCTCCAGGGATGGACGGGGCATCACAGCCTCTCTGGGCAGCTGTTCCAGCACCTCACCGCTCTCACAGCACAGAACTTCCCCCTGACATCCAACCTCAATCTCCCCTCCATCAATTTAAAACCATTTCCCTTTGTCCCTTGCTGTAAAAAGACATTTTCCTTACATCTAACCTAAGTTTTCCCTTCTTCTTTCCTTTAGCTCCCTTTAGGTATCGAAAGGCTGTTACCAGGTCACCTCAGAGCCTTCGCTTCTCCAGGCTGAACAGCCCCAGCTCTCTCAGCCTGTCTTTGGAGGAGAGCTGTTTGATCCCTTGGTTCTGTTTTTTTTTGTGGCCATCCTCTGATGTGATCCAACAGGTCCTTGTCTCTTCTGCACTGAGGACTCTACATCCCGACACAATCTCTAGATGTGGGATTATGCAGAATATGGACTCAGGTAAGGGAAGCCTCTTGACTTCACAGGTCCTACAGGAGCTGATGAGAACTTTAGAAATAAAGTGGGAGCTCCATACTCTGTGGCACCCTCCTTCTTCAGGGAAAGTAGAATGAATCAATCAGATGCTGAAGAAGCACTTGTCAAAATTGGTTTCAGAGACCAAATTACCATGGACAAAGTGTTTGCCTGTAGCCCTTGTCAGAATACAAACCACTCACAGAAAAGGCTTAGGAGTATCACCACACGAAGTGCTGTTTGGGTTGCTGTACTTGGGAATGGTGAGATGCCCGCTCTTGAAACCAAGGGTAAGTTTCTCCAGAACTGTGTACTCGGGTTGTCTGCTGCTCTGTTACCCCTTAAGGGATGTGGGCTGTTGGCTCAAACTCCACCTCTGGAATTTCCAGTGCACTCATCCCGTGTTGGAGACTGGTCCTAATACGCGCCTGGCAGAAATCAAGGCTTCAGCCTGAGTGGGAAGGACTATTTCAGGTACTGCAGTGGATGTTGTCTACCTTGACTTCAGCAATGTTTTGTTTCGGTCTCCTGTGACATCCTGGTAATGAAGCTGAGAAAGTGTGGGATAGAGGAGTGGATGATGAGGTGGGCTGAGAACTGGTTTACTGGCTGAGCTCAGTGGTGGTGATCGGCGGCGCAGAGTGCGGCTGGAGAGCTGTGAGCGGCGGTGCTCCCGGGGGTTGGTGCTGGGTCTGGTTGTGAAGGGGAGATTGTGTTTGTGCTGTAGAAGCTTTGAGTATTTTCTGTCTGTAGTGCTGGCTTTACTGAACTTACAGACCTCTTGTGGAAGAGCTGTTTGCCTTCCACTAAGAAAGTTGCTGAGCAGAGTAGAAAGTTAAAGATTCGGGGTGTTCTGATTGGGGTGGAATTGAGCCAGGCACAAAATAAGGCAAATATGCAGGGTGGAGAGAGAGAGGGAGCTCGGCACAGGACAGAACAAATGTGCACACTCTTGGAAATATGGCCCTCGTATCTCCATGGAGAAGTACAAAACATACCAAAAAGAGCAGGTTGGTAATGGACCTTATATGGAACTACATCATAGCAACAGCGTCAGGGAGATTGTGAGCCTAGACGCTCAACCAGTGAGTGCCAGGAGAGCATTGCCTGCGTCGGGTTCAGAGTACAGAACAGAATGAATTTCTCTGACCGATGTGCAATTTTTCCCTTATTAACAGGGAGCATGTGCCTGTTATTGCAATAACGAATAAACTTTGCTGCTATCAGTAAGACCCTTGCCTAAGCTGAAACTGGTGACTTTGAGTGTTTCTCTCAAGGTCTTGTTCGATATCTTTGTCAATGACCTTGATGAGGGGATATGTTCACCCTTAGCAAGTGCACTGATGAGACAAAGCTGGGAGAGAAGTGGTTGGCACGCCAAGAGGCTGTGCTGCTATTCAGCAAGATCTGGACAGGATGGGGAGCTGGGCAGAAACAAACCAGGTGAGGTGGAACAAAAGCAAGTGTAGAGTCTTGCACCTGGGAAGGAATAACTGCAAATATCAGTAAGCTTAGGATGTGACCGGCTGGAGAGGAGCTCTGCAGAGAAGGACCTGGGGGTGCTGGTGGACAACAGGTCGGCTCTGAGCCAGCAGTGTGTCCTGCTGGCCAAGAAGACCAATGGCATCCTGGGGCGCTTTAAAAGGAGCGCGGCCAGCAGAGCAAGGGAGGTGATCCCCGCTCTCTGCTCTGCCCTGGTCAGGCCTCACCTGCAGTACTGCATCCAGCTCTGGGCTCCCTTCCTGGTACAGAAATGACAAGGATCTCCTGGAGAGAGTCCAACAGAAGGCCAGGAAGATGATAAAAGGCTTGGAGCATCTCCTCGGTATGGAAAGGCTGGGGGACCTGGGTCTGTTCAGCCTTGAGGAAAGAAGACTGAGAGCAGATCTGATTAATGCTTACGTATTTGTTAAGTGTGGGAGTCCAAAGGACACGGCCAACCTCTTGTCAGCGATCTGTGGGGACAGGAGAAGGGGAAATGGCCACAAACTGGAGCACAGGAAGTTCTGCACCAAAATGCAAAGGATCTTCTTCACAGCAAGGGTGATGGAGCGCTGGAACAGGCTGCCCAGGGAGGCTGTGGCTTCTCCTTGTCTGGAGATATTCCAGACTCTCCTGGACGCCCACCTGCGCGGCCCGCTGTAGGGAGCCCGTTTTGCAGGGACTTTAGACTCAATGATCACTGGGGGTCCCCTGCAACCCCAATTCTGTGGTTCTGTAATTTTAATCTTTGCTTCTTGCAGCGATGCAGTGTTTCAGAAGGGAGAAAAGCACGGCAGGCGTAAACTGGATTTCTGTGGTTGGTAAAGCTGTGCTGAGAAGTGGGCTGACACTTGGACCTGGAAATGTGTCTGCAGACTCTGCACCCAGAGGAATGACTTTTCCCTGCAGGTTGGGCTTGTCTAAGGTAGGTCATTGCTAGGTGAGCTTCTGCTTTAAAACATCAAGTTGTACAAATAAGGAAACTTCAAAAGCAAGATTGCCAATTCTTTTTTACATAGGTGATTTTTTCACAAGGAAAGATTTGAAATGCTGTTTGCTAATGGAAGATGGAGAGAGGAAAATCAAGTCAAAGGCACGCTGTGCACAGCCAGCACATAGCATCTGCACCGCTCTCCCCCTGCACAAAGGAGGAGCAGCTCAGCAAGCTTGGCCTGAGCCATGGAAGGCAGCACACAAACATCTGGACCAACCCCAATGGAGCTGGTTCTGCAGGTTGGTTGTCTTCCGCTGTGTGTCTGCCATCCTGTTGCTCTGGGGTAGATTGGTTGATGTTCAGCTCATGGAGTTGAGGTCTGAGTTTAAGTCTGTGGGCATCGTCCAGGAATTGGGGTAGGGTACGAGGCAAGGAAAATTGGGGTAAGAGAATGAGGCTTAGGACCAGGAACCTATTCCATCACTATTAGCTCTTGCTGTTCTCTTTTTGGCTTAGGAATTCAAGTGGGTTTTTTAATGAAGAACAGACTCATTGTGCAGCTTGCGAGTGAATTCATTCACACCTGTTAATTGGCATTCTTCTCTACGTGGAGCTGCAATTGCAATGGATGCTTGTGGTCTGATGTGCAGCCCCCTCTGATGTGCTCAGATGAGCCAAGTTTGCAAGGCCTGGCTCTCGGTTGGTGAGTTGTGCCCAAGGTCAGAGAGGTGACTCTTGTCAGCTTTGAGATGCATCTTCCAGTTGCATGCTGTGTTCTTCCTGTTGCGTTGAGCTCTTGAGCTCCAGCCCTAAGTGAGGATGCAAGCGCTACCACAGAAGGGATGGTTGAGATTGGAAGCGCAGGGCAAAGGGCTGGAGCCAGCAGGAGCAGGGATGTGATCATCCCCCTGTGCTCAGCTCTGATGAGCCCTCACCTTGAGTGCTGTGTTCAGTTCTGGGTCCCTGACTACATGAAAGACATTGGAACCCTGAAATGTGTCCAGAGAAGAGCAGTGAAGCTGTGAGGAGTGTAGAGCACAAGTGTTATGGGGAGGCAGCTGAGGGAATGGGGATTATTTAGTCTGGGGAAGAGGAGGCTCAGGGCAGACCTTATCCCTCTCTACAGTTAGCTGAAGAGAGGTCATGTCGAGGTAGGGCTCATCCTCTTCTCCCATGTAAGCAGCGATAGGACTGGGGGGAACGGCCTCAAGTTGCACGAGGGGAGATTGAGGCTGGATGTTAAGAAACACTTCTCCAAGAAGTGGTCCAATGCTGGAGCGGGCTGCCCAGGTTGGTGATAGAGTTACTGTCCCTGCAGGTGTTCAAGAAACACTAGATGTTGTCCTGAGGGACATAAGGGGCTTAGTGGGAAATGGTGGTGGCAGGTGGACAGTTGGACTGGATGATCTTAGAGATCTTTTCCAACCTTGCTAATTTTATGTTTCCATGAAAGGCATCTGCTGGTGAGAGCTTTGGTGGGTGAGCATCAGGCTGCTGGACAGTAGGCAGCTGTTGTCTGTGCAGACAGCCACATCCACGGAGAGTGGAGTCTTTTTAACCTTAACCTTGTCTTTCGTGTCTCATGTGCAGTAAGGCATGTTGTTATAAAGCACCATCGTAGGGGCAACCTTGGTTTGTGCAGCCACCAGAGCTCTCCCCCATGCTTCTCCCTGTGATGTGTGGCCGTATCGAAGGCCTCGCAGAAGCCTGGGTAGGTGAAGTCAGTTGCTCTTCCTTTCCCCCCCCCGATGCTGGAAATAGCAGGGAAGGGGACTGGGGGACATCCCAGCAGTGGGTTCCTACCTCAGCAGGACTGAATGGCTGTTCTGGTGCATGTATTTTGAGTGAATCTGACACCAGTTAGAGAAATGAGGGGCCTGTGGACAAAAAGAATGTGCCAAGTTTTGCAGTGTAAGGTGTAAGGGGAGAGGTTTAGCAAGGATTTTTTTAGATGAAAATAGTTAATCCCATATTTCCTTTTCATTGTTCTTTCTTTCATCTAGTTCTTGAAAAGTTACCTTTGGATTCTACATTACCATTTATTACTGAAGAGAATACACGTGCACCCCATGCTTTTCATCTGTGCAAAGAATCTTGTAAACGTCTGTGTGTGTGTTTCTTCTTGGCGCTGAGATGAAGCTGTGCGGAACATAGGCTTGGATGTCTTTTCAATCAGATGCAGGGACGTGTAATGCTCATCTTAGATGTCGTGCTGACAAGAAGAGCAGAGAGGTAAATTCTATAACGTTGCATGCTTTTTTTTTTTTTTTTTTTTAATTTTAAATTTTTTTCCAGTCATAACCATGGAACCACAGAAGCGTTACCCAGACAGAAGGAGCCTTTGTCACCTGGACTTCCTACCAATGACACAGGCAGTGGAAGTCAGCATCCCAAGCATCCATGAAACCCCTGCACAGGACTGGTGAGAGTTACCCTGGCGCCGTCCTTTGGCAATCTCAGGTCTCTGTAAGCTCCCAAGCCGTGTCGTAACTCCTCCCGTGGTGCTGACTCAGCTCTCCCAGTCTCTTGTGGGGGAGAGCTGGAGTTGAACTCCTTCCTGCTTCCTGCCTCTGTCCTCCCTGCTTTGCCCATGGCCCAGTGAGCCTCCATCCTTGTTAGTTGTCTTGAATTACTGAGTTGCTGAAGGATTGGGTGGACCAATTAAATTGTTAGCGATGTCTCTAAATGCACGTGTGCACAAAAGCACACTCTAATGCAGTGGTGTGGGGTGTGCTGAAGCATGCCCTCTCAGGTCAGTCTAAGCATACACAGAGTAGACCTGTCTAACAAAACAGGGAATAGACAGTTAAACCCATTCTGTTGGGAAATACTCTCTCCTTCTAAGTACCTTTAGAACGTGAGTTTCTTCAATTAATTACTCAACTCATTTGCTTTTCCTGAATGATCCTAAGTTCTTTTCTCAGGCGACATCTGCACTCTGCTCAGTCCAAGGAGAATCCCTGCCCGCAGATGCAATGACACAGCATGGCTCACAACCTCATTTTTCATTGCTTACTGTTATGGCAGCTGCCATCCATGTCCACCCTGCGTATTCTTAGAGCTCTTCTGGAGTCCATGGGGCAGACTTATGGTTGAACTAAAGGGAATTTTTTTATAATGCTCTAGCTCCAGATGATTATCCCTAGTATCATTGTATCAAAAAAAAAAAAAAAGGCGTTTTGAAGTAGTGCGATATATATTCTGTGCCTCAGAATGTGGCACGTGTGGCATGAGAGAGTTGTGAGGCCACAAGGACTGCCCAGACAGCATGAGAACTGTAAGAGCAGAGAGCTATAGGTGATGCAGCGCTATTGGTGCCACCCACAGGAAGCGGTAGCTGGAACAAAATATGGCCAGAAGAGTGATCAGATTGCGTTTGGTAAGGAACTATTTCATTAGTTGTAGAACTGTGACAAAATGTATATTCAGGATGATGATCAGCATGCCAGGTGCTGGGACCATGCCGAAAGAGAAATGGTCTGAAAACGTCGGTGCAATTTGCAATATATCCCCTTCCACAAAGCCTTCAGATCCAGGGACGGCCTGAGGCCAGTCGTACGAGGCTGCACAGGAGCAAGCGCTGGGTCCTGCGCTGTGGTCATGACAACCACATGGCAGCTTGTGCAGGATTGGGCTGAGGTAGAATTCCAACGGCCTGCTGATTCTAGAATGTTGGGTGTTGGGTGTTGGAATCTTCTGGTCCTGTGACATGGTCTTGCCTCCCCACCCTGTCGTCATGGCGGAGCAGCCTGGTGGCCCTTAGTGATGTCACAAGAGGCTGGAATGAGGGGAGGAGCAGTGCGTGCTGCGTCCCTTCATTGGAGCGCTTGAGCTCTGCGTGAGTAGCTCGCTTGTTGCCCTTGTGCAGCGACTGAGTGCCTTCATTTTCACCCCTTGTGTCTTGTGCAGCATCTTGTAGGTAAGCTGAGACAGGGCGTGGGATAGAGGGGTGGGCAGTGAGCTATTGAAAACTGCTGGCTGGTGGAGCTCCTAGCAGCTCACACTGCTTACTCTTGTCCATCAGACGTAACTTTCAGCCAGTACCTGCATTCCCAAGCGATCCACAAAGATGGCATTTGTCCCATGGCTTTTCCCTTGTCATCTTTGCTCCATTGTGCAAGCTCACAGACCTGTTCCTTCTCTCTCCTCTACCCGCTCCCTTGGTGCAGCTTTCTCTCGTGGAAGCACAGAGCAAAGTGACAAGAAACAGCTGCGAGTTCAAGGAATTGTCTACCTTGTTCTGATCTCCTGCCAGGTACGTGCCACGCTTTGTCCCCCCACGTGGTTGACCAGCACTGTGTCGCACCATGTTTGGTAACACAGCCTCACCCAGCTTTGATGGGACACTGGTCCCGTGTGGGTTTTTTCCACTTCCCCTCCAGCTCCGCCCTCAAGAGGATGCTGTGTGTGGTGCTGTGACCAGCTGGTCTGAAGGAAACCAATCCCTTAGGCAAAGAGTGCTAGCCCCAGTTTGTGCAGAGCTGCACAGCATGACCCAGGGACACAAGCACACGTGCTTTGGCTGCGTGAGTGTGCCCGGCAGCTGTAGGGAGCACAGCAGAGATGTGAGCAGAGGAAATCCATGTGCGAGGCTGCGGCCAGCGCTGGACGTGAGGCTGGTGGGAGCCAGGGGCTGGGGAGCAGATCCACCCCCAGCAGTGACTCCTCTCACTGCCCTGCTGCTGTGCTGTCGGAGTGCTCTGAGCACCTGCTGCTTTGTGCCAGTCCCCGTCTGCTAGCAGAGGGACAGCCACTTGGTCAAATGCTGCCCAGTAGGCTCTCTCGTTTGATTTGACTGAACAAAGTGGCTGTTTCTAGAACACCTGCCTATGCCAGTGGGTAACTGAGGGTAGTTCTGAGGAAGTCTCTCAATAGCGTGGTGTGTGACCAGAGAAAATATGAGCGTGTTTCTTTTCATTCCAGCTTGTCGTGCCTGCTGTGATGGGCGTCGCGTGCAGCGAGATCAGCTGTGGGCCTGACATGGCACGGATGGAGGTAGAGTGTGGAGCTCTGATTGGTCTTTGTTCCCTAACGTGAGCCAGCAGAGTGAGCTGCAGATGTGCTCTCCTGCTTTTCAAGAGAGAACGAATCCTTGTGGCTCTATCGGTGTCACTGAAAAGCTGCCTTAAAAGCTTCAGGTCCTTGCGGCAGGCATCTAGATGGCTGTGGAAGTCATAGTACCAACAGAATCAGATCCGGCATTGTAAACGTGCACAAGCATTTTCCCCATCCTGCCTGGATGTTGTCACCCACAGACAAAGTGCTGTTCTCATATTCAGCAAGTTCAAGGAAGGTGGCACTTGTAATGAGCCAAGGATTGGGTCAGTGGACCGGCTGCTGTGTCCAGTCCACGGCTGAGGTCTCCAGGCAATGGGTGACAGGAAGTGAGCAGACTCTTACGCTCCTCTTTGGGAAGGCAGTAGTGCAAGCATGGCAAGTTTATAAAACTGCTGGAGCCGTCTCGGTTGTGGAGTTTGTCCTCTCAGTCTGGGTAGAGAGAGATGCATCTTTGCACTGCATGGCGATAGTGCTGCGCACTGGAAAGAGAAACAGCTGTTATTAGACTTGCAGTTTCTTGTTAAGCGCTCGTGATAAGGACGGAGTGCACTTCCTGCAGCCTTCTCTGCCGATGTGCTCCTCACCCTGAAATCCTCCTTGCAGCCCTCAGCTCCTCACCGTGGCCTGTGCTCTGTGTTTCAGGCTGAGAACAACGGGAAGCCCCTGCTGGTCCGTGAGGAGTCATCTCTTAATATCCCAGCTATTGCTGCTGCCCACGTTATTAAGAGATACGTTGCCCAGGCACCGGGTGAACTCTCCTTGGAGGTAAGCAGTTAAAGGCGTTCCTAGTTGTCCTGTACAGAAGAGTATAACATGTGAAGCTATCAGGAATATTCTCAGACACCTGCAGAATGTTTGGTGAGGTGAAGCCCAGAAGATTCAGTTCCAGATCAGACTTGCACTGGGTTGGATGCAGGGAGGAGTTCAGCCATCTCTAAAATATAGCTCTATTTTGCATTTGGATCTTCTGATCCAAGAGCTACTGCCCAGTGTGGTAGCCTGGTCTCTGAGCAATGGCAGAGCAGTGTATGGAGTGTGCAGATCTGTTCAGGATCTGTTCCGCTGACTTATGCCTGCGGTTTAATTGGAGCTCTCCCTTTGGCAAAGAGCCTGCTGCTTCTGAGAACCATTTCATACTGAACAGCTGAATTCTGTATGTTGTGTATTGGAGTGACTCTTCTACCTCCACGTTCAGTTGCACAACGGCAAATGCCTGAAGAGCTGCACTGGTGCAATGGCTCTCAAGCTTGACGATATTGGGCAGTGCAGAAGAATGCAGTCATTTGAGCTGCGCTTTCCTCCCAGCCATGCTGAAGCTGGGATTGACGTGGCAATCTCTTGCAGGTGGGAGACCTCGTGTGCGTCATCGATATGCCGCCTCAGGAGCTGAGCCCCCGCTGGAGAGGCAAGCACGGCTTTCAGGTAGGCCCAAGCTTCAGACGTGAGAGCGCAACTTCGGTCGAGGCAGGAATCTCAGCTTAGAGCTGCCCTGCCTGCACAGCATGGCTCCACATGGAAAATGGTTTCCTTGTGCTGGTGTCAGAGGACTTTCCCTTTTGCTGTGGGCTTAGGCCAGAGCTGAAAGTTGGTCTTTGTAGGAAACTGCCTCCTCAGTTAACTTAGAAAGAAGAGCCCTCACGGCGTGCATCAGGTCACGGCCACTGAACCGCACCTTTGGAAATGCAGCAGCTAGGACACGTGTTTCAGTGTCTCTGAGCACTTGTGCTTGCACCCATGCAGAAGGTGAAGTCAGCGTCTTTTAGGAAGTCGCTGCCTGTCAGCTGAGATGAGGCAGGGTAACAGAGCCTCTGCGCGCTTGCTGCTGCTGCTGGCTGCAGAACGCTGGGTAGCTCAGAGCTGGGGATGGCAGCTGCATCTCAGTCAGCAAGCAGAAAGTTCATAGGCTGTGCCAACTCAGATCTAGCTGCATCAATCTATCATAATATATAGCTTCTGTATGAAGTCTTTCCCTTCGGGCACGCTTGAGATTTAGGGGTGCATAGCATACTTGTCCTTTCCCCGCTCCATACACAGTTTTATGGATATTTGCCTGCCAATTTGGAATAATTATTAATTTTAAGCAGGCCATTTTTTGGTTGGATTGTCTTACGGAGCATCCGGCAGGCACGTGATGAGGAAAATGTGATGTTTGAACAGTTCAGGCCTGAGAAACGCTGCCTTCAGTATTGCACGTCTCTTCTTCCTCTTGTTACAGGTTGGATTTTTCCCTGGTGAGTGTGTGGAGCTCATTAACGGAAAAATCCCGGAGTCTCTCATCAATTCAGTGCCAAAGCCAGGTACGATGATACATTTGATGGTGCAGGGAAGCAAAATGGAGTCTTTTTTGGGTGTGTTCCATGTTTAATACCTCCCTTATCCTTCCCCCCTTATCCTCTGTGCTGATAATCCTTCCTGCGTAGCACGGGGCGCATGGCTGGTGTTTTGTAGGCAGTGAGAATGAGGGAAGGCCAAGGCAGTTCTCCGGCAAGTCCGTACGAGGCTGAGAACAGCCAGCGTCCCTGGTGGACAGATAGAGGTCTGGTTGTGCTAGTGACACGCTTGATCAGAACGTGGCTTTTCAAGAGGGTCCTTAATGCCCAGGTTGAGCAAGCTAAGCAAGAGGAGTGCATTCAACTCCATCAGAACGTGCAGAGATTTGGCCCAGTCCTCCTGTGTTTTATGACTGGAGTTGGGGAAATCCTAGAATCCTTGTAGAATGGCTTGGCATGGAAGGGAGCTCGAGGATCATCAAGCTCCAAGCCCCCTTGCCTCAAGCTGGGCTGCCAACCAAGCTCCACGTTTAAAGTGGGACTGGACCAGGCTGCCCAGGGCCCCATCCAGTCTGGCCTTGGACTCATCCAGGGTTGGGGAAAATCCATTTTGGTACGCACTTGCTCATCATGTTCTTCCCGTTTTGAGGTGCTCTGTAGAACGTGTTGTGCTCGGCCTCGTCCAACGGAGCCAAACCTGAGATGAACTGGTTTCTTCCTTTTGTTGTGCAGTGCCAAAGAAGCGCGGCAAGCTCCTCACCTTCCTTCGTTCCGTGGTGAAGGCCCGCCCAAAGCAACGGAAAGAGCGGGAGGTGGAGAAGGAGAGGGTGTTCGGCCGTGACCTGGGAGAGCATCTTCTTCACTCTGGTCGTGATGGTAAGGGACAGCCCATTCCTGAGAGCTTCCCTGTTTGAGAACCTAACGATGAAAGGGAGATGGTATCTAGCAAGGGGCAGCTTGATACCTGTGGAGACACAAGTAATGGGAGTTGATGTCTGAAAGATGAAGTGAGGCTAATGCTCCCAAGAGACAAGCACGTTTGTATTTGCTTCAGCCAAGCCCGGCTGGGCTTAGTGGATGGGATGTGACGGGAGCGCAGCCTGAGGCAGGACTTGACTAAGGAGCTCCAGTAACCGCCGGCACGTGTTCTTTAGTCCCCCAGGTCCTCCAGAGCTGCGCCGAGTTCATCGAGCAGCATGGCGTGGTGCAGGGGATATACCGCCTGTCCGGCGTGGCGTCCAACGTCCAGAGACTGCGGTAAGAGTGCTGCGACTGACAGACACAGCTGCCAGCAGGGGCACGTGCCCTGTTGCGGGCGTTCAGAGGCCTGCGGGCAATGCCTTAGCACAGAGAAAAGGTCTCCTTTGGGAACATCCCATCCAGCACGGCTGACGTGGTGCTGGTGGCCGAGTGTTTGTGTTCTCCTGTACATCAGGAAGCCCTTCCAACTCTTGATTGCATTGGGTGTGGCTTTTGACTTGCTTTCCTCTTTCTCAACCGCTTTCGTGTCCTTCTCTGCAGCCAGGAATTTGAGTCTGAGCAGGTTCCTGAGCTAACCGTCCGCGACGTTCACAGCGCGAGCTCCCTCTGCAAAATGTACTTCAGGGAGCTCCCGACCCCCCTGCTGACCGACCAGCTGTACGACAAGTTCTCGGTAAGCACGAGGCAACGCCTTTCCTTTCCCTCTTCGCTGGGCCTCTTGGGAGATGGCTGCAGCAGTGCCCCGGCTCTGAGGCCCTTCTTCTGTTAGCCCCATGGGGTTTACTCGCATGTCTTTGCCACATCCTGCATCGTGCTGATGCTGCTTCTGGTGGCCCCAGGAGGTGGTTATTTCCATATTCACAGTGCTTGCGAGAATTCCTGTGTTGTTTGTTTGTTTGTTTGTTTTTTGCTATTCCCCAGCTATTTCTGGAACAGGAAGGGGATTAATAGCCAAGCGTACTTGGAGATGAATGCCCCCTGCGAGGAGCTGAGCTGCCCAACCAGGCTGTAAACCGGCCCGGTGCTTGGACTCCTTGGCCGTGGTGGCACCAGCTGCGTGCCGCTATGTTTGCCAGATGCCTCTGGGGAGGCCTAAAATCTTTCTCAGTGCTGACCAGCAGCGCGCTGTGCCCATGGTTCCCGACCCTGCGGCAGGTATCTCGCCTGATTTGTGTCTCAATCCCTTTCTGCCCTTTTCCAGGATGCTGTTGGTGCCACTATGGAGGAGGAGCGGCTGGTCAGAATGCGGGACGTCATCCAGCAGCTGCCCGCTCCTCACTACAGGTCAGTGCTGCCCTCAGCCTGCTGAGCTCAGCCCTGCTGCACTTCAGAGGGCAATGGTGCGATTCCAGGCTTTGTCTCACGTGAGCAACACGATGCCTGGGTATGTTGAAGCGGTTGAAGGCTGCACCGGTTTAATTTACAGGGTTAATTTATTGGGTCAGTTCCTGGGCACGGGGGTAGGCTTGATGCAGCTGATGGCTGTGGCTGTGCTGTGCTGGTGCTGGGTGCTGCAGCGTGGCACTTGGTCAAGTTGGATCTACTTCATCTTCAGCATCAGTAGCAGTAATAACAACTAGTGTGAATTGAGGTTTGCTTGGTGTGTGGCAGCACGGCATGCTGGCTGGTGCTGAACATTTGCCTCTCTTGTTTCCCAGGACCCTGGTGTTCCTGATGAGACACTTG